CTGTCTGGTGAATACGCCGAATGTGAAGGATGGAGGTTAAGCCTGGGCAAACCTTAGTGCTCTACCTTGCTGCAAATGCTTTCGTTTAAATTACAGGATGGTCAGTCCGCAAAGTGAAAAAAAAAGATGTTCCGCAATCCATCGATTTCATTGAGGTCACCGCGTAGTATTCATTAGCCGTCAAGAGGCGTTCATGACTATCTTCTCTGATGAGCCCAATTCCTTGCAGGTGTGTCCTGCAAAGTACTTTTTCAGTCTAACTTTCATATGCATTTTAGGGGTCTTCTGGGAAGTTGTTTTCATAAATGCGGAGGCGCCCAATATCCTCACCGGATGGTTTGTGTCCGGGAACGTGGACAGGCGCCCCTGAAGGTTGAATAAAATTGCGTCAAGACTAGGGATTCAATATCCTCATTAACTATTTGGTGGACTGACTCAGGCTCAATGGATCATTTCTAATATGGCCCTTGATTCACCACACCTGAAATGGCATCACAGCCACTCTCATTTGGTTAAAAGCTGATCCATTTTGCGTGGCCTAGGTTGATTGCGGGCCATACAAACACGGATTTATAGCTTTGTCAACCTCTGAGTCAGAGCTAGTCCAGTTTTTATCCTGTCCTGTTCCTGTCCTGTTTGCTTTCGTTGATTCATATACTGAACATAAGCGATGCAACATCGCCCATAATATACTGCTGTGTCTGTTAGCAACTGGCATGTCTAACGTTTCGTAAGCTGACACGCAATTTAGCAACATATGTGTCTGAAATCAAATGTCTTTCCTTCTATTTTGAATGTATTTCAATTAAATGTTCCGCCACGCAAGCTGAAAATGAAACTGAGTAAGATGTGATATTATGCAGATATTTCAGTGAAGAATGTTATGTCATACGTCGGGACCGTAAAAAGAGGAATGACAGAAAATGAAATGGCTCTTGCATATTAGGGTCCACGCTTGATAGGACCTCTGTCCACAGTCACTGATAATAAGCAAATACCCGACTATGTCGTTGCATCAGGCAGTTGCAAGGGGTTCGACTTATCCATTATTCGTCACGCGTTGACTATGTTCTGTCTGGTGAATACGCCGAATGTGAAGGCTGGACGTGTAGCCTGCACAAACCTTAGTGCTCTACCTTGCTGCAAATGCATCAGAATGAATTACAGGATGCTCAGTTCGCAAGCGGAGGCAAGTCTGTGCCGTTATTCATCAGTGTCATTGGAGTCACCGTGTAGTATTCATAAGCCGTGAAGAGGCGTTCAGTACTTCGGACATGTTTCCTGATTACCTTCTCTGATGAGCCCAATTGCTCTCAGGTGTGTCGTACAAAATATCCGTTTAAATCTAAATTTTTTTGCATTAAGGCGTCTTATGGGAAGTTGTTTTTATAAATGCGAAGGCGCCCAATATCCTTACCAGATGACTGACTGGCTGGGAATGTGGACTGGTTCACCTGCAGGATAAGTTACACGTTTTTGACCTCTTCTTCCTCCCTTTCTTTTTTTCCGTTCTCTGCTGACATTTGGAAGATTCCTCATCGTCTCACTGGCCATCGTATCACACGGGTACGTGTGGGTGCTGATTTAGACTCCTAAAACAAAAATTCTCTCTTTAGTCACAGTGGCTCCCATCTTCCTTCAGACGGCATTCGTTTATCAACCATGTGCTTTCCAACCCGTTTCTAAGGCAACCGTCGAGAAACACCTTAAAATAACCCGTGGATCAACAGCTGCCGGACCGGATGTTGTCTCGCCTTTTCTTCTTTAATCTTGCTGTTCTCAGACAGCCCCTATTTTAACGCACCTTATTAACATGTCATTTATTTAGTCCAAGATTCCCAGCACCTGGCGCACAATGAAACTCACTCACATCCCTAAAAAAGCATAAATTTTTCTCCTTGATACTTTCGACCAATTGCTTCTCTTCCGCATTACTAAAACCTGCTGAAAGAGCTGGCCTGGAAATTAAGAAACCTTTTTATTCAAGTTTTTCCTATCCTCCGCAATTTACCTATAAAGCCAAATGAAGTACTTTGGATGCTGTTTCTCTTGTGGGCCGCACTGCTCAAAAAGAATTAGACAAGTGTTGCCGCGAGTATGCATGTGCTTTTTTGACTACTCCTGCTCATTCAATACCGTCCCGCGCCCTCTTCTCCTAACCAAAACATCCACATGCGTTTCTCAAGGCTCTTGGCTTAGCGATCATTTTACTTCCCGCACTCAATTTTTCCAATCTGGCAAGCGGAAATCTACGGGCCTTCCCAATGACAGCGGAGTTCTTCAAGGTTCCGTTCTATCCCCTCATTCTTTTCCCACCACACCGACGATCTAAGATCCCCTTACGACTGTCTTTTGGTTAGGTATGCTGATGATCTGGTTGTTGGACACATTATCAAAAATCGGACACACCTCCAGTCTCAAAAGGATAGCCTTAACTATGTCCTTGTATGGTCTGAGGGAAATGATCGCCTAATGAATCCTCTGACATCCTTCCTAAGGAGGTATCTTCTTTCGGGTACCTTGACATTGCTTTTCCCTCAATACTTTCGTTTTCCCTCCATATTGAGCCCCTATTTGCGAAAGCTCGTAAACATCTTTATAACATTCGTCGTTAATGTTCCTGCCACACACCTCAACCCTCAATCTGACGAGTTATCGATGTTTGCATTCTTCCTCTTATCCTATACTGCTCTCCTGTCATTTTTATTTCTTTTCTAAAAAAAGATCTTTCAATTTTAAAATGAGTTTGTCAAATGCTCTCTTCTGCCGCTGGTGTTTCTTATCTTTTTTTGTTCGACAATATCCTACAATACGGGCAAGCAATTTGCTGGTCGAATTCTAGATGACGTTGCCCATCCCTTGCATTCTGATCTTATTTCTGCGAAGTTTTCCCGCTCGATGCGCCGCAGCTTCTGACTTATGTCTTGTCGTCCATCGGCATTTCGAGATTCTGTAATGCTATTCCTGGCGCGAACTTACGTGTGAAGACATAAAAATACTGAAGATTAGACTTGAAATGTCCCAATAATAATCGTTCCTTTTGTGTTGCAACTTTTGACTCTGGAATAATCTGTTAACTCGTTTACTGCCCATAGTGAACGGAGCCAATTTTTACTGAAAATTTTAAATTTATAATTTAAAAAAATTCCTCTCTCTCCCTCACAAAACCCCAGCATGTCCTGGCAAATCTATGCCCTTTGATTTTCGCAATCTCTTGCCCGTTAACTTTTTCGTTTTCTTTCCTATGATGCGTTTCCAAATTGCCATTTTATTTATTAGTCTGCGTGTGGTATAAGATGACCTTGCTGATTCATTTTGATTTTCTCTCCAGAAGTTCATATCTCTGTATTTTCTCGTTTATTACCTCTGTTACGCAACGACAGATTGCAGTTGATCAAAAATCGCGAAATCTATTGGTTCCAATAAATGCTGCTACCTATGCATGCTTCAAAAACATTGCTATAAATATGCGCATGGGCACATCTGCTGGCAGTCAGTTTATATCCCTCAATTATGTAAGATCCCGCACGATTAAGTGACAGCGGCACTACTAAAACAAGTGCAATTTCTTGAAAATGAGGCGAAGATAAACTAAAAGAAAAAGTGTCAATTATAAAAATGTAAGTTCGCAAAAATCGATATTTTGATGACTTGACTTAAAGTGTCCTAGTCGCGGCATATTCAACCTCTGACTCGGCAAAAATACTTCACAGGATTGGAAAAACAATCAGTCGGAGCTTTCAAATACTCGCGTTTAATGGCAGGTTGAGACGACTATTTACATTATTTTTATTTCTGTGGCCATGCTTTACACTAAAATTGGGCATGAGTTCTGTGCGACGAAACTTGACATTTGGACGTCGTGATTGACGACATTCACCTCGTGCTGAAAAGCATGCTGAAGCCGTTTACTACAATGACGATCTTGTGTCGTATCTAACGCACTCTTTCCTCATTTCTAACCTTAGCCTGTTATCATGATTAAGTGAATCAGACCTGTTGTATACCCAGCAGTCGGCAGAGAGCTGCTAGCGCATACGAAACAGCCAACGCCAGTCTTAGCACACAAGCCCAAAATACATTGATTAACGCCATGTGAGCGATTAATTTCAGACGAAATTAAAAAAAAGATTAGCATGTTTAGCCAAACTACAGGTAGAATGTGTCGCCATCCAACAGCATTTGCGGGTTAAACGCGTAATATTCGTACGCGATCAACAAACGTTCAATAGTATGCGCATAATGCATGATTAAAAATTTCAATGAGACCAAACCTACTCATGCGTGCCATGCATGAGCCTGTTTTCAGTCCTAAGTTTTTAAGGAGTTTCTGGGACATAGGTCAAAGTCCTACCTGTCGTCTGTGGTGTGAAATATATTTTACCATACAGATCTTACTTCACGTACAGCAGATATGCTCTAACTGCAATTCTAAAATGGATTTCTAATTTTGAAACATTATTTTAAATGGGCTGTAATAAAAAATCACAACGCACATTAAGGATATATTCCAGTCATATCATGAATTCTTGCCTGCCTTTAAAGGTCTGGCTACATGCAAACGAATCATACAGTGTGAACTTCCCCAAGTTTTGCATTCTTAATCAGTCGTTAGCAGTTTAGTTGGCCTGGATGATCACAGTAAGGGGCCCGTTCTTGCTATCGTCCACTTGTCTGCGCATCACGTTGACGGTTAACTCTCATTTTTACTTCATCGGTTGCCGTCGATTGATTCCTTCAACTGCCATTTTTGGAGCAATCTGCCACACAAAGTGGGCCGCGCATTTGAATCATTTTAACTCACCTAAAGGGTGAAGAGATCAGAGAGGTCTGGTTGACGCTTGATGACGGGGCTGATGAAGGCCTCCTAATGGTGGATTCTGGGTAGTGAATCTGTCTGTACTGCATAAATAGGGCTGGCTGGCAGACGTGTGTGAGTTTAGAAAACCTCTATCGGGTTACCAGTTTATTCCGAAGTCTTTCCATCCTGCGCTGCGACCATGCCTGTAACTAAACAGCCGGATTTGCGTGAATGGGAGGACGGCCTTTTTGATTGCACAAACGACGTCAAGAATTGTAAGTATTTCATGCAAATATTAACAGTTCTCTGGATTCTGTTCATCTGGGCCTCACATATTTTGCTCAGCATTTCTCAGCATTCATTTGTTCAGTTCACTGCAAAAGAACAGTGGAGATTTTTTAAATATTTTAACCGAAGTCTTCAACAAATTCTCCCAAATATCCCTAAACGAGAATTCTTGGAATTACATCTAACCAGAGCGTCGACTTTGGCAGTTTATGAAGTTCGCTATGTTCGCAACGCCGATACGTATGGCTGTTATCCTCATACGGTTGCAACTAACTAGAATAAACAACGAATCCAACCCATAAAGTCTAAATGAATTATGGCGGATTCGGCATAGGATAATGAACCGGAGTGAATGAACTGACGCCTCGATTTGGAAGTCGTTGTGATTTCATCGACGAAATAGTTAGACTCTATTCGAACTATGAAGTTCATCGTAAAGCACTTTGGTTGGAAATTGGCCAGTGTCCGCACATATCAAAATGCTGGGTTTGGATCAGGCATAGGGTTTGTGGCGAGTTAAGTTGTGGATTTGGGGTTAGCCGTAGGTCTACAATAAAGTCAAGGACTGAGTTTGCTTTTGAGGTTACGATTGGGATTACCGTTAGGTTTGAGGTATTGCTGCCCCGTGCGTCCTGTAAGCTAGGACTGTCGTGGGATTCTAGACTTTCTTTATTTTCGCGGGAGGTTTGTCATACATTTGGTGTCCGATCTCATTAAATGATGGCTGAACTCCTGACATACGTTTTCGATTAGGAAGGATTATTTGGTCGGGGTTGTAAAACTGACTATCTTGCGGCATAATTTTATAACATTTCGGACTCTGCAGGATGTCAGCTTTTGAATACACTACTTGTCAAACTCCTGTATAAACCGTGCTCGGTAAAAATGACTACTTAAGGTGCATGCATTATGGCCATTGATTTTAGATGGTCTTGCAAATTCAAATATATCTGATGGAAACAATAAACAAAGATATGTGTTCGTTTAGTCATTAGGTAGAGAATTACGTCTTCTTTATATATGATACTCAAGAAAGAAGTATAAGTTGGGTTAAAAAAGTTTCTTATTATAAGATTTCTTAAGACCTCACAATGTCCATTCCCATAGCATCGTACCTCGTCGTTTACCAAAGCTCCTCATGGAATGTACAACGTAGTCTGCATCCATTGAAAACTTTTTTGGATTCTGTACAATATCGCTTTAATGGCACAGAATAATATATGATTTGCTTTACGCAGAACGCATACACCTTGTACAATGGAATCACTAAGCGCTAATGCAACAAATGATAAGTCTCCATATTATACGGTAATTGGAAAACTTTTTAAAACCTAATTATAATCCTTCCTGGAGTATAATATATAAAGAAGACGTAATTCTCTACCTAACGACTAAACGAACACATATCTTTGTTTATTGTTTCCATCAGATATATTTGAATTTGCAAGACCATCGAAAATCAATGGCCATAATGCATGCACCTTAAGTAGTCATTTTTACCGAGCATGGTTTATACAGGAGTTTGAGAAGTAGTGTATTCAAAAGCTGACATCCTGCAGAGTCCGAAATGTTATAAGATTATGCCGCAAGATAGTCAGTTTTACAACCCCGACCAAATAATCTTTCTTAATCGAAAACGTATGTCAGGATTTCAGCCATCATTTAATGAGATCGGTCTCTCACTGTATATCAGATTGCCTTTTCAGCATCGAATATCTTCCCCATTAACGATTTCCGCATTTCGCCTCCGTCTTACTTTACTTTTCATGTCCAAATTGCTCCTACACTTGGGAACAGGGCAGTGTGACTGCTTTAAGCAGAAACTTTAACGAATTCTCCCAAGTACCTTGCGCCAGAAATCCAAGAAAATGCATCTCGCCTGGGCGTTAAGTGTAAATGTGCATGTTTCCGACGTCACTATGGTGCTTACAATTCTCCTACGGTACCAGCTGCTTTGAATAAATACCATCTCCAGTCCATAAAATCGAACTGAAATATGAATAATTTAACATAAGACAAAGAAATAAGGATCGAATCTACGAAGATGACCCCCTTTAATCTAAAAGTCCTTTTATTTCATCGTTCAAATACTCTACTTGTGGTGAAGACTTGAGGCTCCCTGAAACATCTCCAGCTATGTTTAGTCAGAAACTGATCAATGTCTGCGAATTGCATCTTCTTCTACTTCTATCCGTTTTAGGCATGCTGACTGCCTTCTGCTGTCCCTGCATGGTCTGCTATGAATATAAGCTGCAAGATGAGGGTTGTGCAGCTCCGCTGTGTGTACTGCACCCAGTCCTCGTGCTGGCTTCGCATTATCGCGGCAAACAAAATATCGAGGTATGCTTACTCCCTGTTTCTTTGGCCAATTCTTTGTCGCAGCAATCAGATGTCATTTAAATTGGTTTTCAGCAATGGCTCAGCATAATTTATATGACTCTGGCATAGGGAAGAATTCTATGATTCAAACTAACTCTCGAGTTGTGGGATTTTAACCTCGAAATAGGCCAAATCCTGGACGAATTTATCAGTTTTTTTATTAATTTACATGCGTCGATTTTTTAATGGCTGTCCTACACGTCTGCCCAGGTTTATTTATACAATTGCACAGCCATCTGTTTAGCTCCATTTATCCGATATTTTTGGTGATTATTTTTTTTGAAATAATCTCGGTTTTGTTTCCTTTGCATTATACGCAGGTGACATTTCCATGATTTAGGTAAACCATCGTTAATGCGATTTTAGTATTAAAATTGACCATCTCTTGTATGACTTTACTAGTTACGTTAAGAATAAATGTGTCCACGATGCAGAGCGATAGTTAACTGGATGGCTTATTGCCTTAATCAATTCCTGCACGTCAGTCCTGCACATCGACACGGGAACGACCCACTATCAAATATGCTGCCACGCAAGCTAAAAAGAAAATAAATAAAATGTGACATTACGTGGATATTTCGGCGGACAATGTTAAGCAAAATGGGGATCAGAAAGAGAGCAATAACAGAAAATGTGACGGCTCTTGTATATAAGAGTCCAAAGTTGATTGAACCTCTGTCCACAGTCAATGGTAATAAGCAAATACCCGACTATGCGACAAACAGATTCCGTCAGCACTGACTGTCCGACTGCTCTAATCAGCTGCCTGTTTAAGTGCATAAAATTTATGTCGGCAAATGCTTTCTTAAAATAACCGAAAAGCGATTTTCATGATCTGTTACGTCCCTGTGATGGCATCTCTTTCAAGATATCAGCCAGGTTATACCTGGATTCTCACTTCGCGTCAATTTCTATTACCATAAGAGAGTGAATTACGGGCACCGTGGACCAAGTATCAGTCCGTGGATCAAGACGCTATAAAACACTGACGCTCTCAATGGCAGCCGGGTTTCATGCTCAAACTTGTATGCATCTAAATTATGTCTTGACGAAAAAGGAATAAAATTGGCGGTAGGCATTTTATAGGGTTATTGATCTCCCTGCTTATTCCAAGGGCACGGCTTATGCATATCCCTTGCTCGATTGTGTGGGTTTCCTGTGGAAAGTGTGTTTTCTACTAAACTAAATACCCTCAGCAGAGTCTTGAAAACTGTCAGTATACTCGTGACCACGAAAGTCAGGATATTGCTCTATCCTACGAAGATGTATGTGAATATCTACGAAATTCGACATAAAGTATCCAGTCGCAGATGAACGTCCACGTCACTGGTGTCTCTGGCGTTCATCTGAACATGTTCCGTTACTGATGACAAGAGGTGATTGACAGCAGCCTACCTGTTGCTGGCCGGTAGCCAGCACTGTGATGATCGGCGTCCTATTTAAACGCCTCTCTGCACCACCGGGCTCATTAGACTTCTCTGCGAGCGCTTCCAGTCTGCTCGCTGACAGTCTAAACAAATTGCAAAGAAGACACTTGCTCCTTCAAATCTCTTTGAGCCAATCACATTCTCCTTCTCTCTCGGACATGATGTAACACAGCCAATACACGTCTTGGCTTGCTAATCGAAACATACCCACAACCCAAGCCGCCACCTTCTGCAAGTCATGTGAAGTATCTGCCTACTCTCAGAGAAAATCCTGTTAAAGTGCATATTTGCAGGGAGAAATTTTCGTCAACATAATATAAGAGCCTACGAGAGAGCACGCCACAGCTCTTTCCTCACGCCCGGCCTCAGTGCAACCGTGTCCCAATATAGCCTTTGCGACTCTTTTCCGGGGCCTTTAGCGTGAGCCAAGCTGACGACCCCGTTCACTTAAAGCCTGTTACCATTGACGGCGCCGTTTGGTACTCATGTCTGTTCCGTTCATTTATCTGATATTTTCGGTGATTTGTTTTTGTTTCTCTGAAATAATCACTGGATTTGTTTTCTTTGCCCGACACACACACAGGGAAGTCTCATAAAGGACTGCTGTGTCAGCACCTTCTGCATGCACTGCAAGCTCTGTCAGATACACCGAGATTTTGAGGCCAACTAATGCGGACGGACAAAGACGGCTGGCATCGCCTCTTCCTCTATCTTTACAGTTTATATATCTGGTCTATCAGATGTCCAGTTCGTGTCAGTACACATGTTCGCATTAAAATTTCGACCTTGTGCCCAGGAATTTTGGCCTTGTTTCTGTCTCCTCCAAAAACGCACTCGTGACAATGGGTTGTTTTCGGTTTCTCAAACAATAATCAACCTGAGAAGGAAACTTTATCTAGTTTCCGATAGAGCCAAATGTTTTTGCTTGCTGATTGATAATCAGTACACTATTGGGTCCCACATAATTGCTAACACAACGATTTCCAGTGTGCTAAGACTCGAACTTTAGATTTTAGTGCTGACGGTCGGAGAAGTTTGATGCACATATAGTTGACGTTGCTTGACTGCATGTCTTGAGCCTTGAGCTAGAATGAAGCAGACGAACGACAAAATAAACTACAAACAAATGAACACTTGTATATGGGGGAGGGCGGTGGAAATATAATTTTTGTGAAGGCTGGAGACAATGAGTCTGACTAGAGCTTGCTGCGAGGTCTCAGTTAAATCGCCAGTTGACAAAAGTCTAAGTCACGATCTTGTAGTGAATAGCATCCATTGAGATCCTACCCCGTTCTTTATACCCCTTTCCCGCATCAGTCAGCTATCCGAGGCTTTTTAGCATAAAACACCACACAGATTTACTTTGAAATCAATAAAACGTAAGCCAATCCATAATAGCCACCTCATTATCATCCTGTTACGACAAATTTGCATGGGTCAAAAAACTATCTTCGAGTGGAAGAAAGTTAGATACGCATTATTCGCCTGACAAAAGCAAATCTCCATCACTTTCTGATGATAGGATGGGACAGGAATTAGAAAAGTCAGGCAAATAAAACGCTCGATCCAGCAATCCTGTCTCCATTTTCAAGACTAGTTTCTGGGATTCATCTCATCAGATTAGATTAGGCCCGTATCCTTAAATTTACCGATTATATAGCGTCTAATCTTCAGGAATAGTGGATAGAAGACAAACAATTTCTGAATTTCCTTAGTATAGCCTTGGGTTTGCAAGTTAGTCAGAAGCCGATTTGACGAACGTGCCTCAAACATGCCAACTTTGACGCGCCGAATTGCAGTATAAAATAGCGAAATACAAAATGGTATGCTATGGAGGACTCCTCCACAGCGCCTGCTTTAAAAGCCCTAAAACATGGTATGCTACCGACAAATATTCATGCACAATATGCGTTTTTAGATTGGAGGCAAAAGATATTTTGGGTAGTTTGAACATAAAATTCACACCTCCACCAGACACTTGGACTGTGTGTGTATATGCAGGCCTCATCCAACGACTGTGAAGAAAAAGCAGATGAATCACCAGACATAATGAAATATTGCCTAAAATATCACAATTCTGTCGGTTTTCTTTCGACATTTCAGATTATCAGGAACGATACCGCACATAATCATATAAACTGAGATGCACAAGTGAACATTTAAAGTTACTAAGGGGAATATTTGAGGTTAAGGGTTTTCAAGTTAGCCACTTTTACAAGCACGCCTCAAACATGCGAAAATGATGCGCTGAATAGCAGTATAGTCTATCATAACGCTAAAAATGGCTTGTTGAAGAGGTTTTCGCTTTCCCTTCGATAAATACTTCCATGCTTACCCTATAACCTCCTCACTATATATGTCAATATAATTGTTAAAAAGAAATAAGCCTCAAAAGATAAAAGTCCATCTTTTAAAGTATTGGCAGTATGCCGAACGCAGTGTTGAATATGGGAGTGTCAGGCAATCAGTGCAGATTGACGGGGCGCAAGTAGAAATTTCTCTGAATCTACATACTATCCCATGGGAGAAAAAAGGAGACCAGCAGTGGTGTCTTGAATCAGCCATGCTTAGATGTTGTGAACTTCGGTTTGTTTCAGTAATTCTGCGATTAGAATCTCATCATGGGAAATCGGCTCAGGATTCTCTGATATCTGATGCTTCTGTCCACGTGATGTTGCTTGAAAAAGAGCCTTTTTGAGGCCTACTGGCAATCTCTTGTCTAAACACACAGTTTTTCCGTGATTTAGGCATTAATCGCAAATTAACGTAGAAACAACAACCATCAAATGTCCATTTCATATTTGAGTCTACGGTGAGATAATATTGTGTGGCGCATTATCTGCTGATGTGCAAATTTGGAGAGAGAAAGACAAATAAATTTGAATAAAATGCAAGTTTAGTGGAAAATAAATTTTATTCAGTCGGAATTGTATAACATTAGTCTAAAGTGAGCAAAGATAGCAAAAAATCTCCCCAACATTAATTCCAGACCTGAGATAGTGCGTTAAATCATCATCATTGTTTCCTATAAAAATATTTTTACAATTTCCTCCAAGAAGTCTCAGGATTCCTCTAATAAAAAATTTATTTTAAAGAGGACACAATTTCAACTCCTGTATTGCCTAACATGTGAAAAACAAAAATCGATATTTAACTGGGTGACAGTAAGATCCGCAAGCAGATGACGTTCAGATTATTATTTACTTCTGACTGATCAATCCGCCCTGAGTGCCTGTAATACACACATTCATATGTATACTAGCAGTATTTAAAAGACAGTGCCTCATTTTCCGAGGAAAGAGAATGACTCATCGGCAGGAAAGGGAGAGGACCTATCATGAAAACAGTTGTCGGAGTCGACGAGGACACGTCTCCAGGATGAGTATTTACGGACACCGCTAGGACATATTGACAAACTGTGAATCTACGCTTTGCAAAATATATGTTAGATAAGTAATCAACATTCTGGCCAACCCAAAAGACACTCGATATATTAAGCAAGCATTCCTTCCCTCCCGATATGCTAATCAATATTATTTTTCCCCAAAAGTGTTACCGGACATTTTTAACGATGCTACTGGCAATGCCTTTTTGTCTTCATAAATGAAGATGTGCAGGAGAAGAAATCAGGACAGCATGAAACGAAGACCTATCTTCAAAATCAATTTCACAGCTTATTTTATCGAATACGTTGCATGCATAACCGCACAGACCGCAAATCAAGTATTATCTCCAAAGTATAAGAGGTCGTGTGAACGCAGGAATCTAAAAGCGTCGTCTCGGACTGCCAATAGGCTGCAAACAAACAATCATTCGGGAGACTCGACGAACAGATGTTGTAATCCAGTTGCGTAGTCTAGCTGAGTTACAGATAGACTTTACCGCGATCAGGGCATGGATGGAGCTCGTGTTAGGGCTGTTGAGTTCTGTCGGTCAGCGGATGACTGACTGGTTTGGACAGTGAACTGGTGCATGGGAAATGGGAGAGGGAGACTGATATCGACGCTGGGAATCGAATTTGCGCTCATACTTCAACGGCTTCCTTATTTAATAAAAGTGTGACACATTATAAATAAGATCCGTTCTCTTTAAGCACAAATTGGCGTTCGTATGAATGCTTCTTCTGATTTTCTTCACTTTTCTTAGTCACTGACCGATCTGCTTCTACTCAAGCCTGGGCCCAAGTGTTCTCTTGCCGTATCTATAAGTGGAATTATAAGACATCATCTGTCCATCATGTGAATGCATTTCAAACATTTGAGAATAAGAAGCACTATAGCAGGCTCTCTTAAAACCGTCTGGAATTATCTACGTATTTCACTATCACAGTCGACGGGAAGAAATCGACATCTTATTTCCTCCTGTTTTGATCACGTTTGGCTAAAATCAAATCAGCATACATATCCGAGAGAGCAATATGCACTTTGTATTGTGTTTCCATTTTATTTCACCCGTAGTTTAGAAGGATCTGAGGTTGTACTTGTGTTGCACGTGCTGTAGAAACTAATACATCGGTGGGGATATCATATCTAAAATAAATTACCTCGAAGTAAAGCATGCATGAATTGAAGCTTAATGGGCACTATCAATGAACTTCGAAACCTACTTAATTAACCTTTTCGAAAACGTATTTCATGAGTCAGACCACCTGCAGTAAATAAACCCTTCCTCATCTTTAGTGACTCTTTAACGGAGACATGGTTCCCACTCCTGCTTAAAACGTACAACTATCAGTCTGAGGAAAGCCGTGATTTGTTGTTTGTCGAAAGTTGGCGCTGGACTGGAAGTCCTTGTCTACTGACCTGTCCTATCTATTGAGGATGTTGCTTAGCGGTTGACATTGACGGTTTTCATTTTCTTGCTAATTCTTCCATGTTGTTAGACCAGTCTGCCGGAGCGCCCTCCGCTAAAATGCTCATTATCCGGCTCCACTGGCCTTTCCAGACCATGCAAATCGGAGAGGTCGAAATCACCTGATCGGAGATCTGCCAACTAACACTGACACCAGCGGACATCGAAAGCACTTGAAGAGTCAACATTTATTTTGGTGACTGTTGATGCGTTCGATTCATTTCAAATTCACACAGCATACGATGGGGAACAAGACTGACCTCGGGATTTCTGTCCTCCATTTTATTAGAAGAAATTCAAAAATTAAAAGTTTATATTAATAGCTCAAGAAGATATCTGACAAATTTTCGATACAACAGTTCAAATGAGCCAGATATAAACGAATAATAAATTTCATTCAAATCAATACCACACTGAAGGGTATTATTTTCCGTCAGGAATATTTGCTGAGTCAGAGATTTTTCCATACCCTTTGACACGAATTCACGATATCCGGCTAATCGTAACGGAGGAACGAAAAGCGCACGCCTGCCACCGAAAAATTCTTGAAACCTCGTGATCATTACGCGAATATCTCAGCAAGGTGGATAGATTTTTAAAAAATACTTTTTGCAACTTTGAGAATGAGCCCCCTTTTCTTTATCCCAAAGGATTTTATTATACTGCATTATTTCTAGAGGAGTCTTAAGAACTCCCACTTCCCATCTAAATTATTTAACAGGAAAGGAGTAGCTAACGCCTAGAGACATTCCGATGAGATGAACTCATCGCAGCTGAGTATTGCAGTGGAAAAAAGTCGGCGAAAGCCGAGTTTACGCCCTCAGCTAGTGCCTGGGCTCTTAGTATGGTGAATCGTGCCGAGTCACATCGGCCTGTGTGAAAAGGCTTGATGGTTCTTAAAGTAGTAACTTAGACGTCAAGGTTAATTTCCACTAATAATAGGCGTTGAAGGTCAAGGAAATTGACCGCTTAGTTTCAAACAAGCAGCGTTTTACTTTGTTTGATTTCCTTTTAGATCGGATACCTCCGTCGAGGTTTCAGCTCGCTAAACTTGCATAATAAAATTCCAGTCTCAGTTACCTCTGAGATAAAATTGAAAGTACACTTAAAAGTAATTAAAAGACTCATTTTTCCTTTTATTCACTTGTTTCACTTGATTCTATGTGGAAAAAAATTTTGGTAAAGATATATCTATATTTTATATTTCTCGTGTCATTAAACACAAGAAGATCTCCATAATTCACGTTGACCCAACTGTGAAAAACTGTCGCCGCAGTGGAATTTGAACCCATGCAATTAGAGGAAGTCTTTATTACAGCAAACGCTCTAACCACCTGAGTTACGATGCCCCGCCGTACGACGCGAGTTTAACCATATTTGGGTCAAGTTTACCCGTCCAACATATTGCGACGTCTGGGTTCCACCAAATCTGATACAGTAAGTTGACTGCCCAAGCAGGATTTCCTAAGTAATTCACCTAGAATCCACCAGATGATTACCAGGCCTACGTAATTCATAGATATTTTGGTAGATTTTGAATAATTCATTTGAACCAACTGTGAACATCTCGGCGGCTCGATGCGATTCGAACCCAGGTAGTACGCGGAAGGCTTTAGTATAGCCAGCGCTCTAACCACTTGAGTTAAGCGGCCCCGCCGGACGACGTGAGTTTAATCACATTTGGGTCAAGTATACCCGCCCAACCTACTGCGACGCCTGGGATCCACCAAATCTGATACAGTAAGTTGACTGCCAAAGCAGGATTTCCTATGTAATTCACCTAGAATCCACCAGATTCCCAGACTCACGTAATTCATAGATATTTTGGCAGATTTTGAATAATTCATATTGACCCAACTGTGAACATCTCGCCGGCTCGATGCGATTCGAACCCAGGTAGTACGGGGAAGGCTTTAGTATAGCCAGCGCTCTAACCACTTGGGTTACGCGGCCCCATCGGACGACGCGAGTTTAATCATATTTGCGTCAAGCTAAGGCGATATTTAGTGTAGGAAATGGTATTTGCGGTCAGGGCATGGATGGCGCTCGTGTTAGGTCTGTTGAGATCTGTTGTTAGCAAATCGCTGACTGGTTTGGACGGTGAACTGGTGCATGGGAGATGGGAGAGACGGACTGAGATCGACGCTGGGAATCGAATTTCCGCTCATAATTCAACGGCTTCCTTATTTATTTAAAGTGTGGCGCATTATCACAAAGACCTTTTTTCGTTACGTACATAGTGGTGTGCGTATGATTGCGTCTGCTGATTTCCTTCAGTTTTCTTAGTCACTGACCGATCTGCTACTATGCAAGCCTGGGCAAAATTTTCTTGTAACTACGCAGGCGAGACAATAAGCATGCTTACATCGCGCATGCACGAATATAAAGTGACTTCGTACTCACCATAATATTCCTCCACGCCGGAAAAAAAAAGGCCGAGAATATATTGAAACCTGGACCCTGGATAAGATCTCAGTCAATCGATTTGACGATCCGACGCCGGCGTACAGAAATCTTCTTTTAACCTGTAAGCAGTAAATCGTCGACAGATTGGCTTTCATGTCATTGGAGATATCAAAAATCAAGACATTTCGGGCAAATAAATGATATCCCTGGATTTAGAATCACTTTTCACTAAAATACCATTGGATGAAGCAATAGACATCCTTTGCACCCATGCATCTGAAATTCGTCTGTCACCTGAAACAATACGAGACCCATTAAACTTGTGCACGATTAATGTCCATTTTCTTTTTAACAGCCAATTATATAGACAAATAGACGGAGAGGTAATGGGAAGTCCTCAAGGCGTTAACTTTGTTGACAGTTTTTTGGTCATCTAGAAGAAAAAGCGTCCGCGAAATTGAATATGCTGCTACCCTACAAATGATACGTGGATGATGTTTTCGCTATTGTTGAAGACAATAAGGAGGCTGAAGAATTGCCTTCTATCATGAATAAGCTATATCCAAGGATCAAATTTACAATCGAGAAGGAATGAGACTTTCAACTATTCTTTCTGGGCGTTCTTATGTTTAGACAGAAAGATGGTTCTATAGTGCGTTCCGTTTTCCATAAGAATACTTGGAAGGGACATTACTTGCAAATTTTGAGTTTTGTTATCATACAATGGAAACGTAACTTGTTGTGCGCTCTTTTCCAAAGGGCTAGGAACATTTGCTCCAATGACACACTGGATGTAGAACTTGCACACCTCTATAAAACTAGCCTAAACAAGGACATCCTGTACGTTTCATCCACAAGCACAGCAAGTCTACACAGCCAAAACTAACAGAACATTTAGTTCCAAAAAAGCCTGTCTTTATATCTTTGCCCTTTAAGGGCGACAATATTTTAAACACTATCAAACAACGGCTGAGTTCCACCATTTCAAGGACATACAATGCAGCCGAACTCGTATTATGCAGTCCTACTAAGCCTCTTCCGATTCCACAGGCAAATAATGCCTTGCCAATGCTCGTTACTTCAAATTGTGTTTATGAATTCACATGCATTTGCGGATGCAAGTACATTGAGCGAAAGCAAAGGCAGTTGACAGCCAGATCTATTGAGCACCTGCCCAGCTGGATCCTAATGTAAGAAAATAGAATCCCTCGTTCCTCCATTACGAAACATCTGCTTGATAGTGGTTACACCGTCGACCCCAAAACTTCCTTCCGAGTACATTTTCGGGCACGAACAACTGGAACATTGCGCTACCTAGAGACGGCCTATATACGGCAGGTGAAAGCAGATCTTAGTAAACGGTTGGAACACATGGTTAGCCCAATATTGTCATGGTAGCCTCTAGCTCCATGATTTTTCCTTCTCCTCTCCCATTTTTTGCTCATTGACTCCCCCCCCCCCCATCTTCTTTCAATATTCTTTCCATGCGGTGTTTGATTTGCTAACTTTATGGATTAGCCAGCTTTACCCAAAACCATGACCTTGTTGTTTCTGCATTGATTTTCTGCACGAATTCAAATCTGTTGTATTCTTCTCACTCGTTATCTCTCTTATGAGGCGACAGGACGGCTGACGAGCAGTCGCGAAGTTTTTTGGTACCAATAAATCCTGCCGTTCTTGTCTAGTTCAGTTTCGTACCGGGGACAAAGTGCTTCAAACTTCCACCTTGGGTCTGTGATTGGCTAACACGCCTTATATCTGTTGCTTGTTCACTTGCTGCTACTATCTCTGACGATGGACTCCTTCACGAGTTCAAAAGCTCAGAACAATAAACAAAGTGCTCCAGAACTGGACTACCCGTCATCTTCAGTAAAATATGACTGTCTTCTGATTTCATGTCTTAAATTACGGGGGCCGATTTTAGATCTAAAGTCATAACATAATCTTAAGAGACGGTCTAACTGATTTAGAATACGAAAGCTAAAATGGAGCAGACGTAGACCCCTTGCAAATTGCACCCAAATCAAAAACACATGAAACGGTGCCGTTATCTGATAGACACTGAATATTCGTACCTTCTCTAACGTAAGTGCGAGAGATTAGGTTTGTTAAAATGGGAAATTCTGCAACAGAACCTAATACTACCAAAGGACTCTCGGAAGCTTATGAATACTGTGGAGTCTGTACGCTGCACTGGTTTGGATTTCGACTCAGACTTCCGTGTTGACTGTCACAGTGGGCGCTTAGCGCTTCCGAAAGACTTAATAAAGGATTTAATTACATCTAGGGGATCGCGTTTCAAGGAAGTTCATAAGTTCATATTTTTCATCTAAGTTTTTTTACCAGGAAGACCATGAGTAACGCTTTGAGAGCGGCTGCTGAGCTGAACTGTTTGCACCTGCATCGTGCAGCAGCAGCAGCAGCAGCAGAATCTCGGCTGTATGCATACGTGTACTACCCACCGCTGCTGAAATCGTATAAATGTCAGGCGGATATATCACCGAGTTAGCTAGATTTCTGTTTCAATATTTGCATCAACCTCCGGAATGAGTCCCTACCGATTTTCCCCAAGGGACGTACTCTGGTATACCAGATTAATTTTGGAGAAGGCTTAAATGCACATGTTTCAAATCTGAAGTATTTACCGGGTAGCCAGTCATAAACGCTTAGAAACACTGTGATTAGCTGAAGACCTCGCAGTTGCGGCGTCCAGTGCCAAAACCTTGGTAAATCACCTAG